ACAAAAATTTGAGAGGAGCTGGTGACTCCTATTTCTGAGTATCCAATGATTTCAAAGCCTTAGCCTTCCTGGAGAGCGTCTTAGCCACACAGAACACTGGAGATGTGCTTTGTGTTAAGTTTGTTGAAAAAGAATGTTGTCTAGTGGGACACGCCCCATATCTGCTCCAAAACAGCTGTTAAGGAACTATTCTGACTTCTAAATGGAGTTTAAAACAACCTTGGATGAACACCAGACTGTCAGTTGAACTGAGACCTCCACTAGGATTGACATTTGTCTTTGAGCCTGTTGCCTATGCACTCAAGATCTGGCTTGGAATGAGGCAAAGCTAGTTGATCACTTACAGGAAAATCTGGCAGATCACATCAGGGATAAGTTAAGCCAGGGAATTTACTAGCAGGGATAAGTTATGTCAGGGAATTTATTTATTTATTTATTTATTTATTAAAACATTTTTATGCCGCCCCATTCGCCGAAGCCTCGGGGCGGCTTACTCTATCCTAATTAGTCTCTGCTTGGAGATTGAAGGGCACCGAGAAAACTACTTGTCACAACTGACCAACGGCACTCTTTGGGTTCCAAGTAAGACTAAATCTAGGACCATTTGATCTGTCAGATGTTAAATCCATACAATATGGATACAGATGAATCTGAAGAATATAAAGATGATCCCCAACTGGCAGGTATCCCAAATTGTGAAAGACATCCATCCATTTTGGGGGGTTGCCAACTATTACCAATGCTTTTACCATAATTTTGATAAATTTCCCCCTGACAAATATGCTGACCATCTTTTGCTATACTCCCCAAACCTTGAATGCATTTGACAAGTTGAGTGACTGCATGGAGCAGAAAGTGATGCCACTATTAGTGCCACAGGGATAGTGCTTTCTCAACAGATGAAACCCACATGGCCCCTGCACATATGTGGCTGTATGTCCTGGAAATTGCCAGTGAGAGAACAAAATTATGCAACCTGGGGAAAAGAGCTACCTACCATCAAAGTTGCCTTTGAAACACATCAACAGTGTCCGTATGGTTCCTGATATCCAATCATCATTCAAAATTACCAATGGAACCTTAAGTCTCTATAAGGAGCCTGAGGGTTGAACCAGTACCAGTTTCAGTAGCTGCTGCTTTCTACGTAGTTCAACTTCCCAATTCAGTATGTACTCAGTCACCAAAACCAGCAAGCAGATACTTTATCCTATAAACCTGAGTATCTTGAAGTGCCAAGTCAAAAACCCATTATTTCCCTGCTATAGGCCCCAGAACTTTGCTGCTACATTACTGGACACAGGACTAATCAACTGCAAGAAGGTCCCAACTCCTCGCAAGACCCTGCCTTTGGACTGCTGTATGCAAATTCCTGCCTGCATGTTTCCCTCTGAAATACCTTGTATGAAGGTTGCTGGCTTTATGTCATGATGTACCACTGACTAGGTACTTTGGAAGACAGAAGGTAGTATTTTTGGTGACTATGGATTAGAGAGAGAAATCAACATTATGTGGCATGTTGTGAGATGTACCATGCAACAAAGAATCAATATGGAAAGGCTGAAAGCCCTCTTTGTCCATTTCCTATTATTTCGGATGTATTTTCAAAGAAGGCCCACTTTATACCTTAGAGTAGGATCCCAGCTGCTCTTAAAAGTGCTATAATCTTCCTTCATCATGTATTCCAGTTTCATGTTTGGAGAATAGCTGGCCTCCAAACAAGGTCCCCAATCTTTGTCTCTTTTCTGAAAGATTATTCCAAGCCCTAGGAATGAGGTTCATCTCTTTTCAGAGTACAGCTCCCAATCGGGAGGGCAAATGGAAAGAATCAGCAAGATGCTGGAGCAATATTTACATGATTACACAACCTATCCATAAAGTAATTAGAAGGAATGCCTTTTCATGACAGAGTTTGATTAAAACAATTCTCTATACTTCTTCATGAGTCAATCTTCATTTTTTCACAATCATGGACACCACCCTCAGTACTGCCAGCACTGACCTGCTAATAGTGAATAAACTGCATAGGTTCAAAGTAAATGAAGAAACTACTGTAAAAGATGGCAGATCTGCTTCTGCCTGTGATCAGCATAAAATATATTCTAGAATGTACAATGGCTATTACTATTCCTTCTTGGGAATAGCTTTGGATATTTTCCATTTCTTTGCCCCATGATATGACATGATCGCAGACAAATGAAATCTTACTTCATTCAATAGACTGGCTCTGACAGAGATGTGAAAGATCCATGACCTACTGATAGATATGAATTTTACCTATCCTAGTGGAATAGACTAACAACATTCGATACATGGGCTGCAGGGACATACAAGCGTAGGATTGCTTTCTTAATACAGATTAGAGCACGAAATTAACAGCCCCATCACCAACAACCTATCTTTTAGTGGACAACAGAACAACCATGTGAGTGTGACAGAATGGAGTCCAAGGTTTGTGGGAAAGCATGTATTTATGAAAGAGAAAGAGTGGGATATCCTATGCTTGGATATTCAAGAGACACCCAAAGAGTTCAGTAGGATTTACTAACAAGTAAATGTATAAACATGTGCACAGCCTTAAAAAAGGACAATACATTTTTGGACTAAGAACAAGTAGGACTTGCAACAAAATGCTTGCATTGTGTACTCACACTCTACGGGAAAACTCCTGCCAGCCAATCACCCCTGCTACCCATTCTGGGATACTATATACAATAAGGGGTTGAAGCTGTACAGTTTCCACCCTGGTTTTACATTACTTGGATCCTGGAGGCCACCAAACATGCTCAGTCTCATGAAGCTGTGGTTTTTGTTTGTTTGTTTTTGGGGGGGAGGTGGCCTCATTCTGATATTTTTAAAAATTCTACCTGGCTGGATTCAGCTGGAATACTTTGATAGGACTTCAGGCCAGTTCAGATATCATGATAAGCCACACTGAAAATTATCCACAGCTCTTTGATTGCTACCTCACACTAGCCCCAACAGAAATACCGGCGTTTGTGTCCCCCTTTAGTCTTCTTGTCTGCTCTCGGCATGTATCCTTTGCAGCACAACCTCACAATCTACTTGGCCAATAATAGCAGATTTGCTCATCAATCTCACAGAAGATTTTTGTCCATTTTTTCACTTTTGCAGAGTTTTACACATACTGAACATTTTTTTTTCACCTTCAGCAAGGTGAATTTAACAAATTTAACAAAAACAAACTTGGGATAGATTTGAACAGATTCACTGGAGTGTACAAGTTACTATGAATAAACACTGTAGTTATTGAGAATTTGCACAAATCACTCTGAAGGTAAACAAATCATTTGCAGAAATTTCCAGAAAGGTGGGAAATAGCAAGTGGCATGATCTAGACGGCCAATGGAGAGGATTAATACATTGAAAAGTATCTTTTTTTTAACCAAGGAATTGGAAAAGGGGCAGAAAACAAGGTCAGGAGAATGGCAGTTGCAGTATCTAGGTTGTGAGAAATGAGCAAGATTTTTGTCAGATTTGCCAGGCAACTCTGTAGCTGTTTCCAACATGCCATACATAAGCCACTCTGCCAGGTTCATAGATCAAAACAATCCCTAGGTTCTCAGTGTGGCTGCTTCTGAGCAACCTGAAATGAGTTTGGGCATAATGAAAAACCCACCTGAAACAAAACACAGAAATATAGAAACAGAACAAGTCAGAAGGGGCCTCCCGGGCCATCTAGTCTGACCCCCGGCTCTGGTTGGCTCCGCTCACGAAGGGTGACAACCTGCTGTGGGTTATGTCCTGCAAACCAGGTTTTTGATTTAGCAATGGCTTGATTAGAATTAACAAACTACCAAAATGATGTAGGCTTCTAAGATTCTGGCTTGATATGAAAATGTGACTGATATATTACTGAATTATGAATTCTGAACTGTGACATTTTTATAATTTGATGGTATGAAATATTTAGCCTTTTATGTACTCTATTTTGACGTAATTATACTAAATTTTCTTTAAGAGAAAAAGAATTTACTGATGAAGGGGAATGACACTCATTTGGCCTGCCCAGAGGCAGTTTCTCTTAAGGTACTTATTTTCTGCTGCTGGTGTCCATTTGATTCCTAGTTTATACTGTCCATTTCATTTCTAGTTTAACAAAAGCTGCTTACACAAACATACTCCTGGACATACTATGTCAAGTAGAAGACTGTCGTGGTAATTTTAATAATTCAGTTTATATTCTGCATTTGCAATAAAAGCAGTGGTCAGGGCAGATGGGGATTTCAGATACATCCTACCTTTTAGGTAAGTTGAAGACCACTACTTTAAAATGAGCATATTTTGGAAGCCATTTGTCTAGAGGTAAGTATAGGAGACAGCTGTAGATGAATATGGCATTTTATAATTGTGCACTAACTCAAAAAAGGCATCAAGTATATGCATGCCAAAAACCTAAATATTCATCAGGGTATGATCGAAGGCAAAGTTTCACCCAATGGATAACAATCAGAAGTCTAGCTAATGGACACTTTTCCTGTCCATTGTGCATTCAGTGTAGCAGACTTGAGTATGATTTATATGCAAGTCAAAACAATTTCCAGGTAGAGCCTGGTGGCACCAATGGTAGTGGGACAGTGTAACCTTTCTGGATCATGGCCCAAACATTTATAGTATTAAACACTTTAGGGGCAGCAGGGGTCTTTCATCACCATGGATAGATTCTTTAAAGTCCAGACTAAGACCCAAAATGAGTACACTGCACCACTACCACAGGAACCACCCGTGTCTACTGCAAAATCTTTCCTACCGATCAGACAGATCAGTTATTAGTGGAATAACTCAGCTGCACCACCTGTCTTTCTCACAATAACATTTTAGTCACAATTAAGATGCCTTCACTTGCTCCTGATCTCTACTTTTCACAGATGTAATAAGGAACTATTCTTATGGTAAGGGGCTGCAATGGATACTTTTGGCACTGTTTCTAAGTTTATGATATTACGAAATGTTCAGTACAAGAAAGAGATCATGGCACCAACCAGTAAGTGCCAGCCCCTTGTGATGTCAGCTCCATGCCATCGACTGAGTTGTAGCTGTCATCGTCCATGATCTTTGAGAGGCCAAAGTCAGTTATCTTAATTTCACCACATGCGGTACCATTTACCAAGAGGATGTTACCTAGAGAAAGGGAAAACACTTTTTGAATATGCTTATTACTTATGATACCAGCTGGATAAGCAGCAGGCTGATCTAAACAAGAATACAGAAAAGGGCAAGACACACATTTGTTTTTAACCAACATGCCAGACCACCACAAAATAGTAATAATTTAAAAAACCAGGCTACTTACCTATAACTATATTTCAAGTGGTCATCTCTGCATTCACATATGGGCTCTGCAACTGTTGTCAGGAAGATTTTACAGCTAAGAGCATTTTGGCAGGAACCCTTTCCCCACCCTAGCATCCATTATATTTGGGAGGCATTCTTGCCCATTCCTTCATTCCACTGGAAGCTACCTGAATCTCAGGATCTCATTGTCAGACCTTTGCAAAGCTGCTCCATGTCAACTGACTGTCAAGTACAACAAGCTTGACATTCATACCAGATCAGAGCGCACTTTTGGGAGAGCAGTTCTCTCATTAATGCTTTGTTGATAACACTGTGCAACCAACCAGAGAGTGGTAAGCTTGCTAGTTTCCCATGTGTGTGATGCACAGAGAACACAAAGAAGGCAGGCAAGCTGCTTACTTCTAACTGATGTTTTTCATACAACCCACCCACTGACCCTCATGGTGTCATATACGAACCCAATCTTTTCTTGGTAGATCAACTTTGACTAGATTGAGGTCAGTCATAATGATCCTCCCTTAATCCTGAGACCACCTGGATGGTCTCAAATGTACTGAGGGAATGAGCAGGAATTCCTCCCATATAACAAATGCTGGGGTGGGGGAAGGATTCCTGCCAAAATACTCTTAGCTGTAAAATCTTCCCAACAAAAGGTACCATGCAGGTACAGAGCTCCTATGTGTGATGCACAGAGACCATGAAAAAGAAATTAAGCAATCCGTTGTTGTTGTTCTTGGATTGAAATCACCAGTGAGCTTTTTTTAAAAAAGCCTATTAATTGAGGATATTATTTACATAGTTACCATCACTGCATATGGTGCTTTAAAAAGTAACAATAAAAAGACAGGTCTCTGCTCTGGGGAGCTTACAATCTAAAATGTAAAACAAAGAAAGGTTTGAAAGCATTCAAGGCACAACTGTGAAAAGCTCTTACATGCAGCCATAAGGACTAGAAGCCTGACTGTTTTAATGCATATGAAATCACCAATATTCATGATAAAACTGCCAAGGAAGCACACACCTGCAGAACATAGTACCCTGCCTTGCTCCACTCATGCTATGCTCCAAACAGTGTTATGAACATACCTGGCTTGAGATCGTAGTGAATAATGGGTGGCTTGATTTCATTTAAATATTTTAATGCATTCACAATCTGCATGATTATAGACCGGGCTTCTTTCTCTGACATTAATTTGTGCTGTTTCAGGTAGAAGTCCAGATCGTTCCCCTCACAGTATTCTAACACTGTACAAAACCTGGAGAAAGCAAAGCCAGACATAATGGTTTACGTTCATTATGTACAATAAAGCGTTGCAAGGTTTTCCACAACTCCTATTTTAAAAAAAATATCTAGTACTGCAATCAGAGGCTTAACAATTTGGGACCTTCTCCTCCAAGTGACAATTTATGGGGAGTAGTTAACTTGGAATAACCCACTTTTAACTTATTTTAGTCTATATGGAGCAATAGGTTCATCAGAAACGAAGAAGAAATCTGCTTCTGAGGTTCTTCAAATGCTCTCTCCAAAGGAGTTAGGCAAATGTTGACCAGATGGAGACATTCTTTGGCTGTACTGCCACACTTGTGGAATTTTCTTATCAAGATAGCTCCCCTAACACAGGCATCTTTTGGAGATCTGAGGACTCAACTAGGTAATTATTTAGCTGTACTGATGTTTTGCTGTTGTTTAAGCTGTTTTATAAGGGATCATATTTTAATGATATTTTCTAAATCTCCTGGAACAGTTCAAATGGAAGAATGGACTATAAATATTCAAAATATTTAAAAACTGTGACCTTACAGACCACTAACTAAAAGAGAAGCTACAAGTATGAGAAATAATGCAGCAAAAAGAGTAGACATTCTCAAGAGCACAATGCCTAGAAGAGACCAGAAAGGTTCTGAAAGCATTAGCAAGGAAACAAATACCTTGAATTCCATGCAATGTATTTTTAAAAGTTAAGGGAAACCATCTTGCTCTAAGATAGGCCAATAGGACTCAAACACAGATTCTTATGTTTTAAGACTCTAATTTAATAAACATTCCTTATATTTCAGATTTCCAACAATACAAAGTACTGCACATGCATTTTTAATTGATAACATACAGACCCTTCTGCTGCTTCTATAATTTTATTGGACATGCATCTTTATGAACAAGGTATGTACTCATGATCACCTAATACAGCTTAATTTTTCAATGACCCTCCTCATATACCTCTACACATCCAATTATGGCAGTAAGAGTATATAGGAAGGTTATGCAATTCCCACCTGCCCAAATTAATTCTCTGCTACATGGATATCATTCCAGAGTGAATAATAATCAACAGAAATCAAGGGGCAATAGTTACTCTGGAATTATACCACCAATCTCTCTTATATACCCTTTCTCTGCTAGAGAAAGGGTTATGATAGCCCAAACTTTAAAGTGGCTTTATTGCAAGCATTCAAGTGGCCTGTTTCAATGTACAATTGGTAAAGTAAGTAGCACTTACGAGTCAGTGTCCAATGAGAAATAGTCATACAGCTTAACTATACGAGGATGATCCAGCTCTTTATGGATTCTGTACTCTCTACATGCATGTCTGTAAGAGCAAAATATTTATTTTCTAGCTGTTCCCTGTGTCCCTACATCTTGTAACAGATCACAACTGAAATTAAAAAAATCAAACCAACAAATTTCTGTATCTGCTTTCCTTACAAACCAAACTTGGCACATGAGAGGGATAATTAAAAGCTCAGCACCAAGGGAGGAGACAGTTTTAAACTACACAGCCCAAACTATCATTTAAGGACTTCAGTAACTTAGGAAAATCCTGAGTTGAATTTACTTGCTAAAATGGGCAATTATTCAATACATTTATGTTCATGGGAAAGGTACTTCTTGCTGTTCCCCCAAATGTCAGGAACACTGCCCCCCATCTATTTCTGTTCAGAAGTCCAAGTGTATTATAACCAGTGTACAACCCCCTTGCAATTCAAAATTCTGCACTACTTACTTGTGGTAGTTCTCTTTCTTTTCATCCCTCCAGTTTTTATTTAACTGGTGAATTTTTACAGCTACGTATCTCTGTTCCGTTAAATCAAACGCCTGAAAGAGGAGAACTGATCAGGTGTTCCAGAATACCACCACAATCCTAAACCACATTATACTTCCAAGATAAAAAAAGACAAACCTACTTTAAGCTACAATTCTGTGTGGTTTTTTTGAATATTATCTGCTGGACACCCCCAAGTACAATATAAAACATCAGAGCAAGCAACACCTACATTGCTGTGAACTACTCAGAAAGCTTTAGCTACCAGGCAGTATAGAAATATATTAAATAGGCTTCAGATAAACACTGACAGAATCTGTTCCTCCAAGCATTCATGCACTTCCAAAGCGAGCTGAAAGGATGTCTCTGAATGCTCATGGAGCCCCAGTTGCACAACTGGCAACCTTCTTTTGCATCAGCTGGAGCAGTTCAAAAGGTGGCTATAGCTAGTATGGAAATGGGACACTGCTTAGACAGTAGAGGGCAGCTTTCCTGGTAGGCTCCTTGTGAATGAGAGCCCAACGACCAGCTGCTTTGGTGCATGAGTGGATGCTGCTATAAGGCCAGGGTGGCTGCTTTCCTGGTGGGCTTCTCACAACCACATGCCTTCCATCCAGCCTTCTTTAGCACAAGGAGAAGCTGCTTCTGGTGCACAAGAGGGCACTGCTTGAACAGCTTATGGGACCTGATTCTTAGCGATTCTGGGAATCTGGAATCTCTGGGCCTGCACAAAGGGCACCCGAGTCCCAGAGTTAGCTCAGGAAATCTAACAGATCCCCATACAGATTCCTTGCACTTCCTTAATAAAGAATATTTATTTCTATGGCGCAGTGATACCTAGCTCTATTCATGCTCACAAATGCTCTGCAAGAAGTTACCAGTTGCAGCATCTACTATGGCCTATTGCCTCCATCTCCTCTTGTCATGTTGTGACTCCAGCATTGTAATAAAGTGCTGACCTCCAGTTTGCCATCTATAATTCCTAAGAGTACTCTCTTGGACTTCTCCTTTAACTCCTCTAGATTCGAGGCATTCTTAAAAAATTAAGATGACTGGGAACTCAGTGCCTTATTTTATAGCTCACCCTGGACATCCAAGTCAGAACAGCTGGAACCCAGAGAGCTGGAGGGGGAAAGAAGAGGGAGGACCCCTAGCTTAATATCTGTCACTCAAATCTGCTCTTTGTAAAACAGGATGCACACTCTCTTAATAGACCTGCTTAGAATGCTATTAAAACCAGCAGTATTTGCAAACGTTTACATAGTTTCATACAAATGCATTTGCAAACTCAAAATGAAGCAAATATGTTAAACAGCAAGTTAGAAACAGGAAAAAACACCCAGCTGCATTCTACATATATAACTACCTTCTACCACTTCAGACCATTGGCCCATGTAGTCTAGTAATTATCTGCACACACCAGTGAGGATTTTCCAATAGGATCTTAAGCAGCTCTACTGCCTGGGACATCAGGTAACCAAGTTGTTGGCATCTGCATTGTTTCATTCCAAGAAGTCAAATTATGGCAGCCAAGTAAAGTAGAAAGGTGCTCCAACTTACCTTATATACTTCACTAAATCCACCTCTCCCCAGGAGATGCAGCAATAAGTATCTGTCATTTAGTGTTGGGTGGTCTTTAAATCTGGAGACAAGGGGAGAGGAGGGGAGTCTTTATTCAACCTGCAGCTACAATATTCTGATCATCTAGCTGAATGGTATGGTAAATATCCTGAAAAATAGGTGCTCTCACTATCTTTAACAAAAGAAGAAGTTTAGGCATTGAGATGGCTTGCTCATCTATTGCACAGGCAAAGCTACTTGTTATATCCTGTGATTCAGAGCTTGCAATTATCTGTGAAGCTATCAAACATTTCTTGATAGTCTTACATTTCCTGTTTCCGGTTGCCCCACTTCTGCTTTTTCTTCACATGTGTTTTCTACTTGCCTTGCCTCTTGGAGACTTGCTTGTGTTACTCCTCTGAGAACAAGTTAAACTCTCTCCTTACACATGTTCCCACATAATCTACATAGCAAATGCTACACCCTTCTGAATTAAAAGCTACTTTTAACTTCATATATGGGGTTCCTATCATGATCACATAAAAATGGCTTCTTTTATGGATACATGGCATCTAACAAGGAACAGCTAAAAGCTATGCTATGATCATATCAAAGGGTGCACTAAACAAATAGTAGGAGGGAAGCAGAAATATCTCTAATAGCCCTGACAGATCCACTCAAGGTGAACTGGGCAAAAGCACCAGGTAAAAATTATGTCAAAGGGAACAGGGTGGGCATGTTCTAAACCTCAGATTCATGTTGCCTAAGTAGTTAAAATCCCACTGCATGAGTGCATGACACATCAAGTATACTTTAAATTGTAAGCTCCTTTTTTGTGCTTATGTCACTTTCTAAACCTTGAGGGCACTATATCAGTAATGAAGTAGTTAACAGTACCTCAGTAGTAGCATCAGAAATGAGAACCTTTAAGCTATATACACTTGTTAGCTGCCTTGAAGTTTCTAAAAAGCAACTTGTGGACATAAAAAAAAAATAAATGCACATCACCAGGACACTATATGGTGGGCTATGGATTCTAACACTTCTTTTAAATGAATGCTTTGCTTGCTTGGCTATCATTCTTATGCAAAATACCACATTCTAGCAATTCAATTGCCCTTCACAAACTTATAATTTGTAGCATTCCCCTGCCCAATACTCACTGAGAGTTATCCTCATTATGTATCCTTTTCAATTCCCTGATATGCAGATTTCTAACCCTCTCTAACCGCTCCAGTTCTGCCTGAATTTCTGCTTCTTCCTGCATCAAGAAAAAGATAATGTTAGCTACAATGCTGAATTCAAAATGAGTTTACCCAGAGAAAGAAACCATGTGCCTTGATTAACTAAAAAAAAAGTTGCAGGAAAAGGCTTTCAAGAAGTTACTTGCTCTTTTTGAATAGCCACACAATGCATGGTAGTCACTTTTGGAGGTTCTGGGGCATCTCCTCAAATTACCAAATGCGCCCATGGGTCCAAAAGGCTATCTACTCCCAATATACTGGAAAAGGAATTAAACTGTGATAGTGACAGTTATGAAAGGGCTACACTGAAATATTTGTATCCTGAAAGGTGAGATTAAAAATAACTATACTAAATAAATAAAAATAAGTACAGACCTAACTACTTGAACAATTAGCGTGTCAGACAACAGTTGAGACCAGCACCTTTGAATTTTTTTGCAATAGATTTTTTACCTTTTTAAGATGACCTAGCCGGAGCTTGAATATTTCCTCTTGTTCATGATATTCTGCTAATGTTAACCTGTACACATGCAAAGTAAATGAGACAAAGATTAAGCTTCTGAGAGCAGAAAAGGGAGAAAAACAAGTCTAGGTCTCACTGAACATAGTAGTAATTATAAGGGGACACATACACAAATCTCATGAAACCACCTTATAAATTGGTTCTTTAGCTCAGTTAGCAACAATACTCTCATGTAATCAAAGCAGACATCTTTCCCAGCTTTGCCACCCAAGTTTCTTGGATGCCATGGATTGAACATGGACTCTTCACTTTCAAAGGACTTCCCTCTCACTGAGACAAGTTTTACTTCTTTGGTTGCTGGGGGTCCATTCCCCTGCCAAATATCAAGGAATTGGCAAGTATAGTTATAAGGGTCCACTGCATTCAGTGTGAATTAATTCTGAGTAAACATGCATAAGGTTGCACTGTTAGGTTATGAGAAGGCCATTCACTATGGTCAGACAAAAAACTCAAGTAATTTACTTAGACTGGCTTTCTTAATAAACAGAGTACATTAATTTATTAACCCTGTCAGTCCTCAGTCATCAAGAACAGCACTGGTTCCACTTCACAGAAGGTAGAACCTATGTCGGTACGTGCACATGTGCAAACACTACTACCTTTCTAACACAAAAGAAACAACTCCATAGTTGAGCAGGTATATGAACTCCAACCTCCAAATATTAAGAGCAAGTATTTCTCATTTAAAATAGTGGATGAAGTGGGAAGAAGCTCTAACACTTTCACATGATTTGGGGAAGTCTGCTGGTTAATGTATAACAACTTCAGCCTTATTACTTACATCTTGATAATGCTACAGAGCATCCTAATTTTTTTGTACCACTTACGTCTCATTTTCTGCTCCATTGGTCTTGTTCTTGCGCTGCTTCTGCTCATTTGTTGCTGGAGGGACCTGCCCCATGGCAGGTGGCTTCCGTTTTGCTAACATTTTCCGTTGCCTTTCTATATCTTCCCTTTGGGAATTTATCCTTTCTTGTTGTCTAAATAAAAACAGTAATGAACACACAGAAATATTATTTGCTGTGGAGAAGTGGTTTTTCTTTTGCACCCGTAAACAGGCTCATTAGAACATAGGTTTCTAGTCACATCTGCTGCTCCTTGCAAGCAGAACAGTTTAAAGTGGGAGCTTTGTGAATGTGGCTTATGAATATATCCAGTGTGCGCATTTTCTATTATATCCCTTAGGCTCTCTTGCTGGATATCATGCTTTATTATGTTTCTGATTGCCAAAATGGGAACAGGTCATAAACGTTCACTTTCATCCCCAGGGATGATTCAACCTCAACCAGATTCCTGTGGTTAAGATTTTCAATGGCTATATGCTACCTCCAGTATCAGAGGCAGTCTGTTTACACACACCAGTTACTGAGGAACATAGATTGGAGGGTGCCATTTCACTCATGGGTTACATTATACTCATGTTCTTGCAGGTTTCTTACAGGTACCTGGCTGGTCACTATGTAAGCAGATTATTTGGATTATCAGTCTTATATTCTTTCTAACACCTGTTGGCTTTCCTCCCAGGTTGTTAAAAATGGTACCTGAGCAGCTTTTAATGTTAAGCACCGCCAGAGTCTGGTCCCAAGACAAGCCAATAACTGCCAGACATTTTTTCTGCCTTGAGAGCAGGCAGAAAGGGCAATTACAAAACTTACTTGATAAGGTTCTGGAAAGCATAGCCATCTGTCCACTGCTCAGTGTAGGAGGCCCCATGCCGGACTGTTGCAAAATGACCCAGCCGTAACCGATCTTGCATACTTTTATCTCGGCATGCCATTTTTTCCTGCTTTGACTGGGGAGGGAAGGATAGAACGTAAGGACTCTTAGCTGTAATTTGTCCTATTGCTGGACAGTTCATGAAGATTAAAAGTAACATCAACCCAGAGGTCATTCTCAATAAGCTGACAGTTAAAACTTTTCTTACAGAATATAGGTTACTGGGAGCAAAACTGTGACCCAAGTCCAGTGGACTGACATGTGGCTTAATAACTGGCTCCCTATACAGAAGAAAAAAAAGGACAGATACACAATACTGTACATATTGGCATATAAGGCAACTAGCATGTAAGAGGAGGTTGATATATCGGGCTGTTTTCCTGTTGTTTGCCATATTGTCAGGTGTATAAGAAAAAAATCCCAATTTTTGTTTCACTTTTTTCAGTTTCAAGGAGCTCTTATATGCCAGTGTATGTGGGTATTTGACATGCACATGGTGAGCATGTCGCAAGCGGAGCTGGCTGGAGCCGGGAGTCAGACTAGATGGCCCGGGAGACCCCTTCTGACTCGCTCTGTTTCTATGTATTTGTCAGCCAGACACTTGTAGACTCTTGTGACTCACTTTTCTGTATTCCAGCTAATAGTCTCATTCCCTCTCCAATCTGTAGAACAATGGTGGCCCAGAAGGGGGCTGGCTGGCTGGCATTGGTCAAGGAGGATGGGTGGTGCCAGCACCAGTGCCATGGATACGCATGGGGGGCAGACATGGCGGGGGGGGGGGCAGGAAAGAGGGAGGAGGCTCATGCAGGCAGCAACACAAAACAGGAAGAGCTCCTCTAGTACCATGAAGATTTTTTATGATTAATAAAAACAAGCCTGTAAATCTAATTGTCTTTATTATTTATCCTTTTTAAAGCAATATAATGATGATTTTTTTTTACCCTCAAGTTTTTGGCTTACTATTTCTGATTTCAGGATCATCTTATAAAAGGGTATATATGGTGCATGTACGCATTTGTGTGTACACACAGAGATACATGTGTGCAACGGGAAGTGAACAAGAAGACTGAAGATAATAAAAATGGTAATTTACAATCAGCATACTTCCTTTAAGCATACCCCCAGTACAATTTAGGGCAGAACACAAATGGTTCAGTAATAAAATTATTAGCACACCAATTCTAAACAGCAAGTGATATTCTCAGTGGCCATTCCACAATGACTAGAATAGCCCAAGCCACATGGCTTCCTGATGCAATACAAGGTTAGTTTTGAGGATGGGCATGATTCAGTTCTTACTTTATTTCTGATTTTGTAGATGCCATCAGAAATTGGACCTCCCTTCTTATACAATGGTGTTGAACATTTCTTTTGCGAGCCAGTGTGATGTGGTGGTTAGAGTGTGGAACTCTAATCCCTATTCAGCCATAAAGCTCACTAGGTGAATTCGATTGAGTCACAGAATATCAGCCCAACCTAACTCCCAGGGTTGGTTTGAGGATAAAATGGAGCTATGTAAGCCACCCTGGGCTCCTCACAAGGGGGAAAAGGTAGGGTATAAATGCAATGTAACAACAACAACAGAGCAAAGTTTGAAATTTACATAACCTGGTAAAATGGGCCTTCCTGACAGTAAGTATCAGTAGGAAGAGGAAAATTCAGAAACACTCCCCATGGAGAGAAATATCTTCCTTCATGTGATTTTTACCACACAAACAATGAGGGAAGAGCAATAAGTGAGAAAACGAAGCTTCCTACTTAGACATAAAATTGACAGTCGGGGACCATCTACTGCAAATGTCTCACTGGTTGATGAAATCTCCTTATTTCTGCCCTAGGAACCTGGTACCTTCCACTTGTTTAGGACCTCAAACTCCATTAGCCCCACCCAGTGTAACCAATGGCCATGAATGTTGATAGTTATCATCCAAAGCACCTGAAGGATGCTAGGCTTGGAAAGGCAGCTCTATGTAAACCTCCTCTAACATTTGAAGGCATCTTAAGATGCAGTATTGTAAAACTGTGCAAAATAAAAAGTGGTGATATTTTTAACAGGAAGATTATTGAAGAAATAAAAGGTTCCTGAACGAGGCATAGGAATTAACATTAGCTGTCATGATTAGTAGTATGGGACCACACTGAATGTGACTTAATAGTTGCTTTTTAAATAATGTGTTAAGGTTCAGGAACAAAATGAGAATGGAAGAGCTACTTTTTCATCCTTAAGGGTTTGAGACTGGACTATAAAGGGGAAAAGCGGAGTTTATGTTGGGAGTTTGGGGTGGGGGTTGTTGCATATTCATTGCTCTTGAAATTTTTATAGCTAAAACACAAAAGTTTTCTTGTAGCAAAAAATGTCTTTGACTATTGTTAAAATAGTTCATAATTTCATAATCACTGTGCCAATTCAGTACACTGGAAATTGCTAGAATTCGCATTGTATTAAATGGTCTGATTTGGGGTTAGTCCTACAAAAAGCAACCAGAGTGGATATTTTAAGATGAGGGAAGGTGATTCCTACCATGATGTATGAGTTTCAGTCACATATGACATAATTAATGGTCCTCATTACCCTTTTGTGAAAGAGTCAAAAAGGGAGCATGAAGTTGATCAGATTAGATGCTATGGAATAATACATACTATTCCCCAACTTGTGTCATCCGTGTAACTTATGACATAACAATTCACCCCAAATATGGGCAGGGGGCTGCCACCACTAAAGACTAACACTTCTGAAGATGCCACAACTTTGGTAACATGTCCAGATATACAAGCACTTTAACTCATATATGCACATGTACTAAAGTCACTCATGTATTTTATGAAGGAAGCATTTTAACACGAGTTTTTGGACTATATTAATCACTCTTATCTTGAAATGTGTTGTTTCAACAATGTATAAACTTTTGATATAATTTCTCAATTATGTTTTGTGATTTATACTAATGCCATGCTATTATTTTCAATAAATACTGTAATATTTCTGAATCATTTAAAATCAGAAATTTGTGGTTTCTTTAAAGATATCTAATCAAGGTCATTAAATTAGGATTCAATTCTTCTTTAATAATGTAATAAGAATTGTTTTGGGGTCAAAAGAAAATGATGGCCTGTTTTTTCATGACTCACATCTGGAAAATTATTCCAATGTTGATCAGGGAAGACCCCCTTCCCCTGCCCCAATGCATAAATTCTGCTTTAAAGTATAATATGCCCAAAAAGCTTTGGATTAATAGATTTTCAACCTTTTCCTTCTCCTTCCAAGCAGACTAGGACAAAGGCTTTCTAACTAAAAACCTTTTATTAAATCTGACTAACTAGGATTTGTAGTATACAAGAAGAATATTGTAACAATCAATAATCAAAGAAATAAAGTTAGACCACTTCCTATTACAGAAATGTGGCTTAATGGTAAGATGATTCTTAATCAAATACAGTGGTACCTCGGCTCACGAACGCCTCAGTTCACGACCAAATCAGGTCGCAAAAAAAAAAAAAAAAGAAAAAAAATTTTTTGCCTCAGGTCATGAACTCCCCTTCAGGTGATGATTGTGATTGCGCCTGTCTCCACCCCACTTAGTGTGCCTGCGATCGCGCCTGTCTCCCCCCCACCAAGTGTGTCCGTGATTATGCCCATCTATGGCCGTAATCCCGCTTGTGCTGGTGGAGGGAAGATGGCTGTGCTCAGGGTGCGGGGGGGGGGGGGCGTGGTGGCTGCGATCTTTGTTGTTCTTTGTCACTTTGCTTCAAATTTTTGTGATTAAAGAAAAAATAGTTACAGAATGAATTAATTTACATTGAAACTTATGGGGAAATTTGACTTGGCTCACGCTTTGGGTCACAACCAGAGTCCTGGAATGGATTAAGTTCATGAGCCAAGGTACCACTGTATCTCTTTTTGCTTGCTTCCAAATTGAGAAAAGGGATACCAGAAGGTAGATCCTCTTACTTAAGAATCAGTTGCTTCGAACATCTGATGCTTCACAACTGATCCACTCTCTTAATCTGCCACTGTATCTTCAGATTAGGTGTCGTTCTCCATGTCCCATTAGCATGTTCACTAAATTTTCCTAGAGACTTTAAAACTGATTCTCAGTGACTGTCTGACCTCTCCACTGGGCTTGGGATTTGGCTGCAGATTCTGATCCCTCCCTCTGCATCTGTAATTAGAACCTTTGGAGGTGCTTTCATAGGATGAGTGGGCCAGTGGAGTGAGGTACCACTGATACAATATTTTGGAATCTCATTTAAATTTGCAATGAACAGATTAAGCGGTATGCATTTACAAGTATTTCTTGTAAATAAAAAGTTAACTAACTCTTTCTAGTAAATGGAATTTACACCATGATTTCAAACTGAGGTGTTTGTTACCCACAGTTCAAATGTTGTTTCCTCGGAGATTTGTATGTATTTGGCCATAAGGTGGAACTGCATGTCAAAGTTAATAGTAGTGGAAAATTGAGGTCCATAGCCTTCATTCTGAACAATTCTAAGAGATTATGTGATACTCAACCAGAAAATTTTGTATTTTTAAGTAATAAGATTTTCTCTGCCACACTGGAAAATCCCGTAAATGATTAATTGTCCTGTTTAAAATATTAGCAGTGAGATAGCTGGATTGAGATAAAACAGGTTTTACACCAGATCTTAAAAATTATTTGACTGATGGAAAAGTTTTTGAATTCTGTATTTGCTATCCGTGGTTTAAGACAGATTTCCCCTGAACAATCTTGCTCACGCTCCATAATTTGTTTCAAGTTATGTCAATTAGAGAACCAATATGAATGCCCAGTACATCTGTTCTAGACTGTTATGTCAACTGGGGCAATTGACTGGCTGGAGCAAGCTACAAATTCAAGTAACTGGATGTGCAAACAGATTTGAAGAGCTGGAAATAAAGAATAGGAAAAGTTGGGGAGGAATATTAAGAGCAATTGGCAAAACGAAACTTACCTTTTCTATAAGCAGCTTCTTGCTCATTGTCACACATCTATTTAACCGTTCTTTGTACTTCTCAAGCATTTTTTGTTGTTCATCTATCTGTCGCCTTAAGTCACAGTTTGCCTAAGATAAATACAAAGCATTGGAACACAGAAACCAGTCAAAGTGTCACTTGCAAGTCTGCATAAAGGCATGAGGAGGAAAAGTTGAAGATGCTACACAAGAATGCCGGAATATACAGAAGAGATTACAGAAGTGGACATATTGCTCAGTTGTGTAGTTACAGAGAAATTTTAGTTATAATTATAGTCATACAAACTGCAATTTTCATTTGTTTGCTTACCCTGTTAAAACTTTTTTTTTGCAACAAACTAATAGAGCAACTCCTCTGGAGACTTTGCATGGGATTCTCAGATTTTTCCAGAGGGCAGCCATACTAATCCTATACTATAGGGTAAGGATACTTTCTTTCACTCACCGTGACATGTATGGAGAGCTAGCTGTCAAACAATCTTGCAGGTTATATCTTTGCATGTAATGGCAGAAGACAATATCCCATTTACCAAATTCTCTTGCATAGCAATTTATTCTCAAAATTATTCAGATTATATTATTTTAGATACAGCTGCATTACGATAATGTTTGAAAAAGAGAGGGAGGAGAGTTTACAAGTATTTCTACTTACTCTTAATAAGTCATCTATCCTTCCTTCTTTCTTTTCCAGATCAGAGTTTTTACTGTTTTCTAGTGCCGATATTTTCTCCATTGTAAGATCAGACTGGGGGGCAGGGGGAGAGAGGAAAGAAGAGAGTAAGCAAACTGAAAAAGTCATCCAAGAGGTGGGTAATTGTTTCATGGCCAAAAAAACACCTCAAATATCAGTCTTCTGCCCCTTGATTTCATAGCCAATGGATAGCATCCTATAATTGTTAAGAAAACAAAGTCTTTATCTAAAAAATAAGTTCCTAACATCTGCCAAATGGGCTAACTTATTTCATGTCTACAGTGCCCAAAAGCCAGAAGGGTTCTGGTTAATTGGAAATCCAACTTCACAAGAAAACCATTCCCTAGTTAGGAATCACTTGAGCATTCTTAGGTGTAGCAAAACTGGGAGAACTTCAGTGTAATACCAGTGCTGAGCAGGTCATGAAAAATACAGTAGCCCAGTCATACAGACTCAGTTTCTATGTAACAGTGGGTTACATAAGTTAATCAACTTATTATTTGCTGTGTCTCCTGCCACTACTTTTAACACTCAACCCCAATCTAGTGTTGCTATGCAGACATTATAGGTTAATTGTGGGTTAAATGAAATCTAAGTTAACTGTGGGTTGTTTAACCTATGATTAACCTATCAGTGGCCAGGTTTGGATGTCACATAACAACCCCCGATTGAGCTGACTAGATTTTGAATATTTCAAAAGGATGCAGAATGCACTTAGCATATCATGGGTTAATAAGCCCATGATTTGTTATTGTTACCTGTTATATTTCCATAAACATCCTTGTGCAAATAGGGGATCAAATCATTGGACCCAGCATACTCAACACATAAGAAACACAAGAGGCTTGAATTGAACTAAAGCAATGGAATCCAAAAGCCTTTTTCAGACCTTTCCTATGAACATTTTTTTCAGGCCCCAGGAGAATGTTACAGCAGTTTATAACAGAGTGGTCTTTCCTTTCAGCAAAAACCCAGCTACTTAGGGAACTCTGGTTCCTTTTATTTGTTTTGATTACTCTAGCTACCACTTTTGGATGCTTAATCATGCCACAAAACCTAAAGTCTGAAACTGGGGTTCACAAGATTCAATCACAAAACTATTAGTAGGCCATACAGAGGAGCCACAGAGATCAGAGCTTTGGAAGCATGGCTTTCTTCTCCATTAAAAGCCCCACTTTGAAACTAGCTGTTAAGTCCAGTTGTCAAGTTTTCACTGGTAAAAAATAGGATTCAAATTGTTCTTTAAATCCTAGGGTTCCTTGAAAACCTAGGAGCTCTTCAGTGAAACAAGCAAGATGAATTAGCTTCCCTGAAAGACAGTTTGTCCATGAATGCTAACATGCAAGTAGAGGCATGTGTTCAACGCAGCCCCATGGCCCAAAGTTCCATATCAACTGAGGCTTTATCTACACTGGACTCTGCATTCTCTACAATTTAAATGGATCCACTGGGGATCCACAACGTGAAAGGGTTCCTGAAGGTTAAGAAGCATGTAAACTACCATGTTATGTAGCTGCACAGATCCAGAGGCTATTAGCATGATGAACACTTGGAACACCCACATGTATGCAAAGTCCTTCCTATTTGGGAATAGCTCTACACTGTGAAACACTTTAATGTACAGGGAAACCTATAGTAGTTGGGAGCACCTTCTACATATTACAGTGGCAACAAACCTTTTGGCATGGAGTTCACCATTAAACAAAGAGAAACCAACATTTTGGACTGACAACATTTTCACTCAGGAAACAAAGGTAAGGATGACCTTTACCATCAGCAAATGTTGAGCTCCATGTTTCCTCATTAGAACGGAATAAATGGTAGACTGGAGTTAGGGACAAATAATTTCCACTGTGAAATCTGCTACTCAAAGTACACTGATTCACTTCAAGGACAGCTATTCCTAAGATCACGCATACTTAGGAGTGACCAATCAATGATGGAATAAGACTTCCTTGTTGTGCCACTACCTTGTTGCCCTCCACTTCTTCCCCAATTGTATGATGCACCTGATTTAAATACAATACAGGTATATCTTTACAATTTTTATTTGTCTCATACCTGTGTCTGTTTATGCTGGACGGAAATCTGTTTTTGGGAGGCGCAAGAATGCTCTGTGTTCCCCGAACCTGTTGAAGAAGGACTGCCTTGCTGAGCCTGTAATAAAAACATAAATGTAGTCCATGGGCTGTGGATTAATTAGATGGCAAAGTATTATGCTAAACACAAACTTCTCTGCTTAATCTAAGGACAAAGAAAGCTTATACTACTCAGTTGAGCGCTGTCAATCCTGACAGGCTTATATCCAGTTCTCTGGAGTGTCCCAGACAATGGCCATTTCCTAGCTCTACTCCCAAAAGCAGTATGACAAAAGATATCAAATATAAAAGTAAATGGACACCTACAGGCTACCCTCCTAAGTCAGTATATAAAAGTCAGTCTGCTGGTTCACATACAGAGTTAAGTCCCAGTCTCCATTAGGGATTCCTTTAAGTACTTTCTCTGAAATATTTTTGAGAAAACGAACTGTTTATAGAACGTGAATGTATTTAACAAATTGCTGGGGTCTGGGGCAGTGAGTGACACATATGTTAAATTGCAGGAACAGGCTTACATGACAAGCCTAGAGATAGAATTTGTCCTGGAATAATGAGTGTATAAATAAGTTTATAATAATATATTAGATTAATTTCTCATGTGTGCACATCAAGGTCATATTTTAGGACATGCTGCAGATAAAGGGGGGAGGATGGGTCTCAAGGAATAAATACTTTGAAGTTGAATGTCTTGAGCTTTTAAATGAGTCTAAGTGTCACCCAACAATCCCAAGATGTACATTCCATAAAGGTAAATTTGTCCTGCCTCCTCTTCTGAGTTATTAGCACAGAGAATTGAAACAACATGTTCAAAGCTAAAAGTTACATTAGAAGTGTATCACAATGCTGTTTCGGACGTTTTAGCTCCATCATAGTAACATGCTCTGCATGCCGTTTTCACAAAAAAAAAAGATGGATGCTAAACCATGGTCTCTAAAGAAATACCTATGCTACCATAAACTTGCCCTTAATCTGAGACCTTTAAACAAAACTTTTAGCATATAATCTTGAGAACTGGAAAACCCATGATTTCTTGGGCTTCAATTTGTTTTAATTTAGATCATAAGCATTTGAAATGGGAAAGTCCATTTCATCACCATGCAAGGATAGGAGAGATGCCAAGGCTGGAACATGGAAGGAGAAGAGGGCCTAACATGGCTGAAGAAAGGAGTACCTCAGGGTAGGGTAAATGAAGCTGGCCGAGAAGTAGGGATCTTGGGGAAGGATAATTCCAAAACAAACAGCTCCCTTGGTTCTAAACTTTTAGTTATTTTTGCTGTCACTTTTTCACCAACTGCAACCACTGAGTACTAGAATTTTAAGAAAAAGAAAGAAAACAGATTCCAATAAGGGGACCATACAAATGTGGCAGTGGTGGGGGGACTGCATGCTATCCACCCATGTCAGACCTATTCAGTCTCACTTGAGTTTGGTCATTAAGACCGTGCTCACCGAAGTAAATGGAAAACAGAGGCTTGTACCCCTCTGGGCCAGCTGCTCGCCTTCTAGCCGCTGTTTCGCCAGCATTGCAGACACCAGCGTTGGCAGAGCAGAATGCTCTTCCTGAAGTTCCTTGGCTGTGCTGTTGTCTACCCCGTAAAGCGGCTGCTCCATACGCCGCTGCAATACATTTAAAGAAAATTAAAAAATACTTTGAAGGAAAAAAAAGAGGTTGAGGTGGAGAAGGAATTAATACTGATCCATGACAGATCCATGCACTGGAAAATGCAGCATTTTGGAAGCTAACATCAAGCAGAGTAGGGGGGCAGGATGGATTGAGCTATTAAAATTCATCCCATCACCAACAGAATGTTCCACAATTTTAAAAGAAAATGAAATGGACACTCCTAATATCTTTGTTCCTGCTTGGACATAGTGCAAAACTATGGTTTAGTGTTACATGCACAAGCAGCAGCAAGCACTGAGCTCATGGGTTCCCACTCCTCCTATGATGTGGCAGTAAGGGAAATGTAGCCTGCATTAGCCTTTCCCAACCTGATGCTCTTAAGATGTTCTGGATTACAACTCCCAGCATTCCTGGCTACTGGCCTCCCCAACATTCTCAGACAGTACACAAATTTAAGATACATTGCTACAGTTTCAAGCATCTAGAGGGCACTAGCATGTTGACACCTGCCCTAGGCGATTGGTTTCAGTGTCAAATTACTTTGTTAAGAAGTTTTCCTTACCAGAGATAGGTATGTGTTCTATTGTACTACCATAGATAGAAGAGCATGTCTGAAAGAGGCATCAGCACTGTCCTTTTCATCCACATAATAGGGACTGCTAAGCATTTCAATGTTACAACCTGGTTAAGCCATCAAAAGTTCAGGTATGGTAACTCTCTTGTTGAATGCTACAGATGTAGCCACTGTACAAGCAGAGTGAACTCAGGCTAGGATAGACAGTTTGAGGGCATTGGGCTCTCTTTTGTAACTCCTTTGGATGACAGAGAGAACCCAAGAGTCTGATAGAATGTTGGGTCAGGTTTGCAGGAAAGAAGACAGACAAGTTCCAAAGATGGGACAAAAAGCAGAGGCAGGAAGGCAGAAGAAGGGAAGTCAAAGCCAGTATTTATTGTCAGTATGACCCTTTCTGCTGCTGCTGAATATTGTTTTTTTCATGCTGAAGTCAGGCTTCTGAAAGCCTGCTCTAACCTGTGAGTGCTTGTATGAGTAACAAAGACAAGAACACTAGTGTTGTCTGTATGGACTGGGTGGCTGAGCCAGCTCTATATGGCATGCTGTATTGTTTGCTTTCTTTTTTTGTATACAGACTATGGTTGCATCAGCCCTCATATTCAATTGTTTTTGCCTAACAAGGTGAAATTCCTTGATTTAGGCTCTTGTGACAAAATTTGTTGAGAGCCAGTGTGATGCAGTGGTTAAGAGTATGGGACTGGGACTCATACAGGCTCTGAGTTCTAGTCCCTGCTTAGCCATGGAGCCAACTGGGTGACTTTGGGCCAATCACAGGCTCTTAGCCCAACCCAGCTCACAGAGTTGTTGCTGTGGGGTAAGACAGAGAGTAGTAGGAGGAGAATGATGTACACCACTTTTAAGTTATTAAAAAAAGACAAAAGGTAGGATATAAATCTAATAAATAAATAAATAAATAAATAAATATCAATCAGGTGTGACATCTCAAGGCCATGCCATCATCCATTGTCTTGGAGACAAATTTGCATCCTTTTCTTGAAGCAAAACATGCTCTTCAGCTGCTTAGATATGGGAAATATGCATGATGTGGATGCGGCCTTCCAGAAACCCTGGATGGTCTGACAGAGCCAGAACAGGATAGGTACTAAGCAAATGTTTAGGTACAGACTGCATAAAAATCAGTTCCTTGACTCTATGGACAGGTTGCTGTGTCTCTAATTCCCAAAGACTGAGCCATCTGAAAGATTTGACCAGAAAACTGACTCAAATCTTCCCACATAGGTGTGTCCTCAGTGCCCATCACTGCATCCAGTGACAAGACAAACAGTGCTACAGGAGAATATAACGCTGAGTCAGAATGATAATCATCTGGTGAAAAGCAGAAACACTGCAGTGATTATTTGGTTGCCAAGGCATCACTACTTGCATGTTACCTATTTTATGTATTGGCAAGACTTCTATAGAAGCAGATGGTAGAGGTAAGAAAAAGAAAAAGTCATTGTGAGGTCTGGTGATGGCGGTTGAAGTGGTACTGTGCTAGTGATGAGGATTATCCCCAAAATAATTCTTCCAAGGACTGGGACATCATAGTCAGAGAACCTGTTCCAATCAGAAAATGGAAATCTAGACTTGCTCCCAGGTCCTTTGCACAAGCTAGCGGTGTGGTTCTGTACCAAGTAATCATAAAAAAGTCATTGGTAGAGACAAGAGGCGACAGACCAAGTCAGTGTTAATGCTGGAGATGTGTTTCTGGTCTCATCCTCTGATATTGGCAATAAAGGAGGCGAGTCTTGAATCAACTGAGTCTTGAATGAATTGCCCTGCTATTGCTTCTGTCACCTGCTAGCATTTCTTTTTGTTGTTCTTACACTTAAGATTTTGGAGCCTTTTTGACAATTTCCCCCCTAGAAAGTATCAGTGAATAACCCGGTGTGGGTGGGTCATATTGACTCACTAACTTCCCAGTTTAGAATATGTCAATTCATCCCATTGGCAGAATCTGACTGGGGGATGAGGCAGATCCTCAACACTTGCACAGGCTGCAGCAAAGATAAAAGTTTATACAGGCACTCAAATGATTAACTGAAATCTGAGCCACAGAGGCTACTTCAACACTTCCACCAAGTCAATTACCTTCTTTCACTAAAAGACATGAAGTCTGTCAGACTGAGAATACCTAACTTGCTTTGTAAAAGTTTGGCAATGCACACAGGTTTGGCAACTTATGTCCTTTCCCAGGTCAGAAAAGACAAAGGAAATGGCAGTTGGTGGATGGCAGCTTACTTTCACAGCAGACACTCTTATGGAAAGGTACCTCTAAGGCCATAAGCCTTGAGGCAAAAGGGTTGTCACAAAGACCACAAAGCAAAGGCAAAGAAAATTAATGATAAAGACTTCAGAAAAGGAGGAATAAAACCTCAGTAGTTTCCAAAAACAGCCCACTGAACTAACAGACATTGAGCAAGACTACCACAGCAGTGGTTGAAAGAGAACTGAGAAAACATGTGGGAACGTGCTAGGGACAGGCCCACTGAAATGGCAGGAGAGAGCTCCTCCCAAAGTTCCTCAGCTATAAATGTTTTCCAAATGGGGCTCCACACAGGTGCAGACCCTGTGTGGGATGCACACAGACCAAGAAGAATTAACACTTTGGTACTTCTAGATCATGAGAGGTAACTGCTTCTCAAATTACGATCTCTTCCACTCTGACCTCCCTGCAGGCCTAAGCCAGCAGCTCAATTTAGACTGTTGTTTGTTCTGTTCCAATATTGTTTCTGATTGATACCAGCAATTTTCACACAAAAAGGTGCATGGATACAAAGGTAACTTTGCATAAAGTATAAAGCATACTTTAAAATGTTTATCTACACTTTTCCTGTTATGGTAATATGCCCATGTGTTGTTCTGAAGACAAACTGGTATCCATCTTTCATTCTTGGTCAAAACCAGACACCAAGCAAATATGACTTACAAAGACAGAAAATAGGAAGGCCCCTCAATGGCATTCCCTGCCTGAAAGATATATAAGAACCACAGGTAAATACAAACAACACCTAAAAAGGATGTGTTCAGTATGAAACAAGAACTGAACCTGCAGTTCTTGAAAACACACTATGTGCCATAGTAATTTAATACTTCTTAACTGCCTACAGGGTATGGTCTGGCTAGCTGAGAACTCTGCAGAAAATAAATGTGCAGCTTGTGTTGAATAGACACTTCTACATATATACAAAAATGGCATCATCACTAAAAGGTATAGTCAACCTGTCAGTTAACTAGGTGCGCTAACACAAACAGCAGTTTGTTCTAGCTCTAGACACCTTACAAAATGCATATATGTGTGCGTGCATTGATAGAGCCTGAGTTTATTTCTCCTACCAAGATCATTCTAAGAACACAGGAACAGAGTCTGAGTAGAAGGGGTTAGAATCTGCAGCTGGGATTCCAAGGCCAGTAGACCCAGAGGTAATGCAGATGGGTAGTTAAGAGTTACTCAGCTAGAGACCATGGGAAGGCAAAATCAACCTGCTAAGGAGGAAGATGGTAGATCAGCTAACATTAATCCCAGGGTCTGATGTCAGCAAAGGAGGGCAGATGCTTGTATCTTTATTACTGGCAATACACTTCATTAGTATTTTTAAGTCAGTCTGACTGGCTTGTATTAACTTAATAAAACTTTTAGTTAGAAGGCCAGTGCCTTGGTCTGCTTGGCAGGAGAGAGAGGGAGAGAGTTACAGCCTAGGTGCATTTATCAATTTGAAGCATGTATTTGCAACTGAACCCTGCCAAGTTGAAATATTTGACTAGTAGGTTGCACAGCCAAGAATGGAAATTGCAATGCTAAGGAGTCCTGTCCAGTCCCACAGTGGGTCATGGTGGCTTCCAACTAGACCTCACACTTTCAGAAGTATAGTCTGTGCTACATGTCAGCATGAGCCAACTCCTTTGCAAACTATCTGCCACCTAGCTATATGTATGAAGACTTTAATCAAAGACAGCCTGGGACTAGGTTAGATAGCAATAGCAGGGAATAAAAATTATGGGGGAAGGATAGAGAATGTCATCATTTAGGTCCTGAGTTTTGGAAGCCCTGCAATGCCCCAGGTATGCTGAAGCACCACGTATTTGTCAGTAAGCATTGTTTAGAAGCTAAGAGAACCAGAAATACAGATTATTTTTCAGAGTACCACATTGCCTATTCCGAAAGATCCCTTCAAAAGAATACTTACAGGCAAGGGATTTGATAAGGAATGCTGTGGTGATGATCGTGCAACTGTTGGCACACTTCTTCCAGGGCTTGTTCCTGGACCACTTCCACCAGCAAACTAAAGGGACACAAAAACACACAATAGAGATCAGTAACTTTGTAGGAAAGGTAGGAAAGTGTCAGAATTCTGAATATTCCTGGGGTGGCCAGGAAATGGAAAAAAGAAAACATGCATAGGAGTTGGCCAGATTTAAGACCTACTTTTCCTGTCTTAAATCACATTTGAATGAGATAGGAAAATGTGGCAGTCTACTTGCAAGGGCCTACCCCTCTTAGGCTTTTACAGAGAGTTCAGAGTCTCTGCTTCAAACTGGTCAAGATGTACCAATAGGATTTGCAGATCACATCTGAAACTGACGTACCTCAAAATAATCACTAATTTTATGTCCCCTTGGAGTGACTTTGCCTGGAAAGAAAACACAAATGTTAGCAGATGTGATTAAGCCTTTGAAAACATTAATACTATTAAGCTTCAAAGTTGAATTATTCTAGTTCAATTTGCTTTGATTTAGATACAGGAAGGAAACCAAGAATGGTACTGAAATTAACCATATAGTCTAGAGCAACCTGGACTCTCAGGGAGCCACATGCTGTACTATTCCAGTCCCGTATTGGGAAGAAGTGTGAATTCTGCATGGCCAAATTCTTTCATTATGGATTATGGAAGTACAAGCATGTAAACTGTAGCTCCATCTGTAAAGGACACTTTTTCACACTGCTGATAGTATGTAGAGGATGCGAAAGAACAGATGGCTACTGTATTCCTGCAGCATAAATACTGGCCTGAAACAAACTAACTCTAGAATCACATGCTGCTTGAAGATGGTTCCCAAGAAACTGCCTGAGTTACAAGGCTAGTTCTCAAAGAGTTCCCTGTATCTTTTTGCAAGAAGCATGCTAAATAAGAGAGGGACATGTAGAAAAACAGAAAAAGGAGACAACAGGAGCAGAAGCATCCAAAGAATATGAAAGGGCAGAGAAGAGAAATCAAATATGCCTGGGGATGGCTGAATGAGAAGCAACAACAGTGAATCTAGTGAAGTATTATCAATGAAGGGTCTTAGTTCCAGAACATTAAAAGACTGCTGCAAATTACTCCCAGGTCATATAAGAAATAAAATATTAGAAAAAGAAACATATACTTCAGATATCACTCATAGTTTAGGTTAACATTCTCCAATATACCGTATGTGGTAGGGTTTCTCTAACAGCTGGACTTATTACCAACTGTTTGAATATCCTAATGAGAGGACTTACCTTGACTGGTCTCAAAAGGTTCAGCTTTCCTCTTTCTACTGCGCTGATCATTCTGCTTTTTTTCAGGAGTCTGGAGGCAGGGGGAGAATCCAAAATTAGTTTCTGTAGGCATCCCAGGATTAAAAACACCAAGATACTAAAAATAATAAATTATGTTTGCAGTTGTTTAGTTTTAAACAGAATCTTCTAGCAGAAAATGCGCCTTTTCTTCTATTTTGTTTTGGCTTGACCCCAAGTTAGGATGAGGATCCATTTGCCTAGGAAATATATTAAGCTCAAGTACCTCCAGCTCCTTGTCACTCAGAGAGCCCACGCTGCACAAACTCTGATTAGAAGATTCACTGTTCAAGGGACCCTAATACAGAAAGAAGAATATTACCAGTAGGTAAATTGTATCCTTTACAGTAAATGCGTACTCATGTCCCTTTTCAATATAATGGTCAGCTGACAGTCAGACATTAGAGCAGTAACATTCCTCTTTGGTGCATTTATAAAATCTAAGTTTTGATTCTGGAAAAAAATGGTGCCTTAATATATGCTGATAAATTATTTTGACATTGTTAAATATCTGTAGGATTCTTTGTGCACAGGCAGAGTTCCCTTCCATTTCTACTGCTAGTATTGAATATGTACAAATTTGGGAGCATTCCCACAGAGGCCACAACGAAGAAATAAGGTTAATCTGTTCTGGCCCCTCCGAATGTGGTTGTGAATCAGTTTTTGGTCGCAGCTCAAGTCAAATTTCCCCATAAGGTTCAATGTAAATAAGGTTAATCCGTTCTGTAACTATTTTTTTAAATCAGAAAAGTTTGAAACAAAGCAACAAAGAACAACAAAGTAACAAAGTACTGTACAGTACAGTGGAGAACACTAACTTAGGCGGGGGGAGGTTATTGTTTTGAGGGGGAGTCCCCCTCCATAAGGACATTGGGGAGATCTCTTTCAGGGGTTTTCTCTCTTCTTTGTCTCCTAGCTGCAGGGTCAATTTTGGTGAAAAATCTGTCTATAGTCATGTGTTTTTTCCTGCGCTGCATAATTCTCTGGAAATGAGAGACCACATTATCATTCATCAGATTCAACACTCTGTTCGTTACATTTGTGTTGGGGTGGCGCTTCTCAAAGAAACCCTGGCATGGGCGTGCTCCTGCAGGAAAGACAGGCACAATCTCGGCCATCTCTCCTGCCCCAACCAGCACGATCGCGGCCATCTCCCCCCCCCCCCCCCCGAGTGGGGAGACGGCCAGGATTGCAGTTGCGTTCATGCAGGGAAGATGTGCGTGATCACGGGTGTGCTCCTGCAGGAAAGACAGGCGCAGCACAGCACAGCTATGATCACGCATGTGTTCCCTGCACGAACACGATTGCGATCGTGGCCCTCTCCCCACTCGTGGGGGGTGGGGAGATGGCTGCGATCTTGGTCGTCACCCAAAGCAGAGTTTGTGGCCCAAGTCAAAATTTTCATGAAATTTTTGTTTGTGACCCAAGGCATTCGTGAGCCAAGGTACCACCATATTTGATTCTCTAACTTTCCAGTTAGAGAATCCTTCACTTAAGTACTTTTAAGAGGCACTGGAAACCCCAAAAATGTTATGTTCAACTTTCATCAGTTCCTGCTTGTACCCCAAATGATACATGTTGAGGAGTTTATGCCAAAAGTACAGAAATTGGTATTCCCCTGCCTCACAAGAATGCAACATTCCTGAAAAACTCAGGAACCTTAATCTTAGATTGCCAAGAGAGCATCCCTAGATGCCACTTTAAAAATGCAAATCCCAGCCCTTTGCAACAGATGTACACATTCTTATCCATATATACCAGGAAGAGGCCGGCTTGGTGTAATCACCCAGCAGACCACAGGACAACACAAAAAGACTCAATCTGAATATATTAAACATTTTAGCCCTTCTTAATAGAGGAAAAAAAAACTCAGAGAACATACAGGAATGATTCTCTTCTGAGATAATTTAGACTACAATCCAGACAACCCCTTTAGACTTGCAAAGAATTTTTACCCTTTTTTTAAAACAGCAATCTCTTGTTCATCTCACATCAGAAACCCACTCTTAAAAATTCTGAATTTCAAAAGCAAGTTGTGATGCAGCAAGATTGTTTCAAAAAATAAATAAATAAAACAGTTAAGAGCAAAGAACAATTTATTATTTGCTCACTGAAATCCAGCCAAAGAAACAGAGGGCCTACACATAACTTTCAAAAGCCAGAAGATACCGAAGCCCTAGTTCTTCCTCTCGACTTATTCATAGTTCTACTTTTTATTTGATATGTGATGAAATTATTAAAATGATAATGAAGAACTTTTGAACAGCTGAATTATAAACAAGTATGAAAACATAAATACAAATAATGTATGAGAGAAGAAATATTGCTTGACTTCTACCCAAGGATCAAAATATTTTCACAGATGAACACTCTTTTTTATAGAGCTGCCTTTATGTGCATGTGAAAATTTTAAAAACACAATTGCTGTTAGTACAGTCGTAGAAGGATTAACAGGCCTCACATTTGGTGGAAGTAAAAATAATCTTGTAAATTTGGGGAAGTTTTCCACAACATATCTCTAAAGATGTGGGTCGTTTGTCTAAGATTCCAGGTAGAGATTTTATGATGCAAATACATCTAAGCCACATTAATGGGTTCTGCACAACATGCTAAGCCACCAGAAGGCTGGCCTAGTGCAGTAGTGGCGAACTTATGGCACGCGAGCCAAGTCACCCCACCCCAGCAGCCGAGCATTGGATAACAGCACACATAGGGGCCATGCGCATGTCAGAAAGGAGTAGTGATGCCAGGTGATGATGTCATGTGCTGCAACTCATTAGCCACATCCGAGCTTTCGCATGGCCGGTCAAACTCTGCAGTTGTCCTCAACTTTTTCCCACTCAAAGTCTCCTGCTGATGCTGGGAAAGCAGGACTGTTGACAAGCATCCCTCTCTGCCAGCACTGATAGGTGTGGGAGGTAGAAGAAGTTGCTTGAACTCTAATGAGCTGCTTGTTCAACCTTGGGAATAGGGAAGGCCATGCATAGCAGAAGGATCCACTGTAGTTTCCTTCCTCTTGAGGAAGCAAAGTCAAATGGCACCTCCTTGTCCACTGTCACTTCCAAAATGGCTGTAGCAGTGGGCAAGCATGAGGCATCTGGCTTGTCTTCCTTGAGCAGAAGAAGAAGAAGAAAAACAAGTCAGCATGCCCTGTCCAGTTTCCCTTCCTCCCTGCTTCTGACAATGGTGCCAGGAAAAGTGGGTAACAGGGTTGGAGGCACAAGAGAATTCTTTATTTTTATTTATTTATAAAAGCTTTTATATGCCACTCGATTAGCCAGATGCTCTCAGAACAGTTTACAAGAGAAAAACGAGCAATACGAAAAAACAATATAATCAAGCAAAAACTGAAAGCATGATCAATGGACAGATATAGTAAAGATTTATTAAAGGCTCAAGATCTGGAGGATATGAGCTTGGGGAGGGATATATGATTTAATTAAAATGGATTTGAGCAACACTTTACACCCTGGGCTTAAGTTATTTGGTGAACCCTGCTGTGCTGATTAACTACAGGGGTTCAATGCAGGAACTAGAGGGGTCCTAAGACACATCCCTTTCCTGCTCAGTTCTCCCACTGGTATTTGAGGGAACTGTACGAGAGCACTGAAGGGAGCAGGGGGACAGCTGGAAGTTGTAGTTCAAAACATATGAGGGATTGCTTTCTCCTTGACCTCCCTCAGGGAGGCCATGGAAAAACTTTACCTTCCAGTTCCACCCTTGTGACTGCCATGTACTGGGGTACCACAACTGCTTACTACTAGGAAGATGGGGGCAGCTGCTAAAAAGTGGGCTAATGAGCAATAGCAGTCTCCTGGCATCAGCAGAAGCAGAGCATGGGCAGCTGGAATGATGCCTAACCCTGAGCATGGAAACCTGGTGTGTAGCAGCCCATCCCTTTCTGCCACTCAGCCACAAAGGGTTTACAGTATATCACAGAAGTGAGTACACCCCTCACATTTTGTAAATATTTTATTGTATCATTTCATGTGACAACCCTGAAGAAATGACACTTTGCTACAATGTAAAGTAGTGAGTATACAGCTTGTATAGTGTAGCACTATAGCACTATAGTATAGTGCTGTCCCCTCAAAATACTTAACACACAGCCCTCAATGTCTAAGCAACTGGCAACAGGAGTGAGTACACCCCTAAGTGAAACTGTCCAAATTGGGCCCAAAGTGTCAATATTCTGTGTGGCCACCATTACTTTCCAGCACTGCCTTAACCCTCTTGGGCATGTTGCCACTGGAGTCCTCTTCCACTCCTCCATGACGACATCACGGAGCTGGTGGATGTTAGAGACCTTGCGCTCCTCCACCTTCCATTTCAGGATGCCCCACAAATGCTCGATAGGGTTTAGGTCTGGAGACATGCTTGGCCAGTCCATCACCTTTACCCTCAGCTTCCTTAGCAAGGCAGTGGTCGTCTTGGAGGTGTGTTTGGGGTCGTTATGTTGGAATACTGCCCTGCGGCCCAGTCTCTGAAGGGAGGGGATCATGCTCTGCTTCAGTATGTCACAGTACACGTTGGCATTCATGGTTCCCTCAATGAACTGTAGCTCCCCAGTGCCGGCAGCACTCATGCAGCCCCAGACCATGACACTCTCACCACGCTTGACTGTAGGCAAGACACACTTGTCTTTGTACTCCTCACCTGGTTGTTGCCACACACACTTGACAGCATCTGAACCAAGTAAGTTTATCTTGGTCTCATCGGACCACAGGACATGGTTCCACTAATCCATGTCCTTAGTCTGCTTGTCTTCAGCAAACTGTTTGCGGGCTTTCTTGTGCATCATCTTTAGAAGAGGCTTCCTTTGGGGACGACAGCCCTGCAGACCAATTTGATGCAGTGTGCGGCGTATGGTCTGAGCATTGACAGGCTAACCCACCACCCCTTCAACCTCTGCAGCAATGCTGGCAGAACTCATACGTCTATTTCCCAAAGCCAACCTCTGGATATGATGCTGAGCACGTGCACTCAACTTCTTTGGTTGACCATGGTGAGGCCTGTTCTGAGTGGAACCTGTCCTGTTAAACCACTGTATGGTCTTGGCCATCGTGCTGCAGCTCACTCTCAGGGTCTTGGCAATCTTCTTATAGCCTAGGCCATCTTTATGTAGAGCAACAATTCTTTTTTTCAGCTCCTCAGAGAGTTCTTTGCCATGAGGTGCCATGTTGAACTTCCAGTGACCAGTATGAGAGAATGAGAGCGATAACATCAAATTTAACATACCTGCTACCCATTCACACCTGAGACCTTGTAACACTAACGAGTCACATGACACCGGGGAGG